GTCAGGTAGTCTTCGTAAGCATATGAATGATAATTTTAATAGTATTACACTAAGGGATAAGATCCAATCATTATGGTTTCTTAGCAAAGGACTTTTCTATTTGCATAGTAAAGATTTGATTCATGGAGATTTTCATCCGGGAAATCTTTTATATGATGACGAATTTTTACATATTGCAGATCTTGGTATGTGTAAATCAAAAAATCAAAAATCAAAATCTAAAGAAATTTATGGAGTTTTACCTTATGTGGATCCTGAAGTTCTTTGTGGAAATGATTATACTGTGGCATCAGATATATACTCTTTTGGCATTGTAGCATATGAAATGGTAACTGGCTTTCCGCCGTATTATAACATTCCCACATGACAAATATCTTGCGCTGAAAATTTGTCAAGGTTTACGTCCTGATATTCCATCACAAGTTCCAGAGTTAGTAACTAAATTAATTAAAGAATGTTGGGATGCACAACCAAACAAAAGACCAACTTCTAAAAAAGTATTTACGATTGTAAATAAATGGTTAATGCATCGTTCAAATAAAATATTTGATGATTTAACTATTCCAACGCCACTCTCCTACAAACTTCATCCTGAAGCAATTTATACAAGCAAGTTGATTGATACTTCTAATCTTAATAACAAATTAAATTTTACTAGTACAGTAATAGGTAATTATTATTATTTACTTATTTTTAATGAATTTAATTTATTTGTAGCCATAGGATACATGTAGCCGTACTATCAAATATAGTTTTTTATAAAAAAATTTTGCAGCTATTAATATTAGGGTTTGGGTTAGGGTAAATTGCGAAGCATTTTTACTTAGTTACACAACAGGGTTACTCTAGTAAAATTTCGAGTTTTTTAGAATTATTGAATACGGCTACATGTAGCCATGGCTACATATAAAATTTTCCATTTTTAATGTTTCATATTAAGAAAATTACTTTTAATATATTTTCTAATATTAATTATAGCTTCAAAGTTAGTTGAATTAAGTATACCTGAGGTGGAATTGGCTAAGTTGAAAACATGCTATCTATTATGAAAATTTTTTAGGTGTATTTGATTATTTGATTTTTTTTGTAATAGATAGTTAAAATTTAGAGTTAGAATTGTTAATAAAAGGATATAAGTGGGGTTTATTAGGTTTTATATATCTAAATAGTGATCCCAAATTCTTAGTTCCAGCTTCAGCCCACAATAAATAAACGTGAAAAATTAAAAATTAATTTCAATATTTAAAAAAATTAATTCTTGAAAATGTACTAGCTCAAAGCTCTAAATTTTAAAATTTATTTTTTAGTATTTGGTTTGATTTATTTTTTATAATACAGTATATAGTTTGATTATAATTTTAATAATCTTATAAATATGTTAATTGCTCTAGTTTTAAATTTTAATATTACTTTACTATAAAAAAAATCTTATCGGTTATATTTATAACAATTTTAATATAAATTAGTTATTTAAAATTATTTTGGCATTAATTTTTATCTTTATTATTTTAACTCTCAAGTTACTCGAGAATTAAATATATTTAATTATTTTACAGTATATTTTTTTCAATAAATTAATTTCGTTACTCGAATAGCTCGAATAGAATTAAATAAATAATTCAATCATATGATTCGAGTACTCTTCTGAGTTTAATTCGCGAGTTACAAATTGAAATGAGTCCAGTCACTAATTTAGACTTACTAAGTTTATCCCTTACACTGTTTTACAGGCAAATTTTCTGTGAATTCCTGACAAATACATTTTTTTTTGAGCTGGTATATTATAAGTAAATTGAATAATTCATTCGAAGATTTTCTATCAACATTATTTTTGGAGGTGTACAGATCTTACAGGCTTTGAATTCTTTGCTTACTTTTTTTGGGGCATTAGAAGCCACAACTACGTATTTCATGTAACAAAAATACAAATATCGATGATAATCATCAGAGCATTGTATTACCAACACAACAAGTCAAGTGATTTTTTGGAGGTCCAAGCAAATTTGCCTTATTATTAAAGGGATAAAACTAGTTTTGTTTACATTAAAAAAATAATTGTTACACGATTTTTCTTTGACGAATTCAGCAAGATGTATTCAGAAGAATCGATCTGTGTCACGTATCGGTACATCACTATTGCTATATCAAGGTAAATGATTTTGTAGATGGTTAAACCTGATATGTATTAATGAAAAACCTGTTAAAGTAAAATAATATCTGTGGGGTGACGTCCCAATTTGATCTTACGTAATTAGAAACGTGACTTTGTTTAAAAAACAGTAAAATAAAATAGAAAGTCTTGGCAATAGTTCGAAGTAAGATTGAAGTATACAAGTGAATAGAAATCTGTTTTCTAAATAAAAACATTTTTGTCTTTTAAAAATTCCATGATTCTATGTTATTTATTTGTTCTTAACAGAAATGATAAATAAAATTAGCTGAATAACACATCATCTAGAACATATCATACACCATAAGGATAAGCCAAGAAATAATGATTATACATAAACTTTTGTACGCATAGATTTACATTTATTCCAAATCACCACATTACATACATGGTTAACGAGAGTCTTTCTTCACTAATGCACGAGGAAAATCAACATGAGTAATTTGCAGATGTCTTTCTCACGTTGATGATTTTGCAAAAAACATTGGCATTTAATAGTCGTTACAGTAATACATGGTTTTTAACAAACAAAGTCTCGATGAAAAGGTTGCTGAAGAGCAACGCCAATTATGCAGTGAAACTTTGTATGAGGTTCCAGATGCATTATAAGGTTATTATATTAATGCACTCTATTTCAATACAGCAATATTAACATTAAAGAAGACTACCTGACGATGCAAATTCCATTACTATTATGTAATTTGATGTTTGAGGATCTTTAGAAATCCCAAAACATCTAATAAAAAAATGCGTCAATAGAAACTTTGATGTTTGATTCGATTTCTTCCAAAATATTCGATATTGAATAAAATGCATTATATTCCTTTAATGCCACTGTTTGAAGACTTAGACGATTCCACTGTTTCTCACTCGAATTCCAATGACTGATTTGTCCGTCCAACCAAATAGCTGAATATATTGATCCAAATCCACCTTTAACAACAAATTGTATAAAACGTAATCTGTAATATGGAATCCACTCAATTACCTCATCTGGACTTTTTGCAGAAAGTTGGGTTTCTTGAATGAATTTATCAATATCGATATTACCACTGGTCCATTTTTCAAACTCATCCTGAAAATGGTTTAAATTGCATGGTTTGCACCAACCATTAGCAACAAATGTGGTCAAACAAGGCTGATTACATTCATTACAATTACTATTATAAACCAATAATAATTCTTCTACGCGGAAATGAACATCACGATCCCAATATTCGCATTTCTCTACATCGCATGATAAATATTCATTATCATCACTGTTATAATTTGCATCCAAGTAATAATATTCACGTTCTTGAGTTCTCGCAAATCTGTAAACAAAATTGTTATGAATAAATTTATAGTATGGATCTATTGCTAATGCTTTTTCAAAATCTGCAAATGCTTCTTCAATTTTATTAAGCTTGTAATAAGTCATTCCTCGAATGCTCAATGTCCACACATCCTTTGGACATATTTCTAATGCTTTATTTGAATCTTTGAGTGCTTCTTCATATCTATTTTGCATGCGATAAGAATCTCCTCTGAATTCTAATTATTTGGATCTATTTCTAATGATTTAGTTAAGTTTTCAATTGCCTTTCCATATTCTCCTAGCAGGCGATAATTTTCTCCTCTATACATCAATATAAATGCATTATTCGGATCAATTTCTAATACTTTGTTCAAAATTTTTAGTGATTCGTTTAAATCTACAGATGATTCAATAGATTTATTTGTTATTTTGTAAGTATGGCCCCGGATACGTAATGTACCTTCATTATTAGGGTAGATTTCTAATGACTTATTTAAGTCAGCAAGTGATTCTTCATGTTTGTACATATAGTAGTAAGTACATCCTCGACGATACAACGCATGCGCATAATTCGGTTCGATTTTCAATGATTTGCTTAAATCTGCAAGCGATTCTTTAAATCTTGACATTCTAGAATAAGTTGTTCCACGAATTTTCAATGTCAATACATTATCCGGCTTGAATTCTAATGAATTATTTAAATCTGCGAGAGATTCTTCATATTTATACATTTCACTGTAAATTGAACCACGAATTCTTAATGCAAATGCATCATTTGGTTTAATTTTTAGCAATAAATTTAAATCTACAAATGCTTCATTACATTTACCCATCATATAATAAGTTTCTCCACGAATACTTAATGCATTTAGATTATTTGGTTCGATTTCCAATGATTTATTTAAATTATTAAGTGCTTCGTAATATCTTCCTTTTTTGAGATATATTTGTCCCCTTCCACCCACTGCCCATTCGCTGACAGACTCAAGTTCAAATGGTGTCTTAAAGTATACAAGCCATTCTTCATATTTACCCAATACACGACAAGTTGCACCTCTGTTTCTTAAGGTAAATGCATCGTTTGGTTCAATTTTTAATAGCTTAGTAAAACTTTCAAGTGCCTCTTCATATCTGTCTATCATATGAAAGATTTCCTTATTTGTTATTATGAATGAATTTTTTGATTCGATTTCTAATGATTTATTTAAATCTGCATCCGCTTCTTTACACTTGCCCATCTTGTGATAGATTTTTCCTCGGTTTCGTAATGCAAGTGTATTATGAGGATCAATTTTTAATGATTTTGTTAAATCTGTAAGTTTTCCCGTTATGTAATAAGCTACTCCACGTTGTCTTAATGCATACGCATTGTTTGGATCTGTTTCTAATAATTTATTTAAATAGTTGATATTTTCTTGGTGTTCATCCATAACTATTGATTAGCTTTACACGTTTTCGTTATAAAAAGGGTTACGCTATTTTTCCTTAACAGTTTATTCATATATTATCAGGATTATGGACAATTTCAACGTCCAGAACGTAGTGGAGCGCTTTTATCATATACATCAAGTGATACAAAATAATATTTTCACAAATATTATGAAAATCGTAGTCAGAAAAGTAATTAGGAAATTTTTTGCTCATAATCATTAATTTATTAAGAAATAAAAACAAAGTTGGGGAGTAAGGATTCCGAATAATTATAAATTGTAGGATCAGTCCTTTGAGATTAAATCTTGATCGTTCTTACAAAATAAAAGAATAGCGTGTATAGGTAAGATGCCCAATAACGGTCTAATCATAAACATGGACAAGGCATATAGCAAATAATAATAAGAAATTTGTTTATTAAAAGTAATTAATACAAAATATAAACGATATAGCTTCCAAACTACTAAACCTCACTGAGTAAATTTATATTTAAGTTAAAAACAAAAACCGTTATTAACTCTAAGAACATAAAGGAATGGATCTATGACTTGAAAAGTACGCTGGAAATAGTCAGCTAACGGCTAAGGTTGAACTACCCCAGTAGCACCGACAGATTTTCACTGATCGACATAAATTGACCAATTAGATTTTAAGATCAGGTGTAACGTGAAAATCATGCGTTTTTTTAAAAATTTTAAAAAATAGCAAATAACTCAAAATTATATATATGAAACTACTTACTGTGCATTAGTAAAAAAAATTCCTTGTCAAATTTTGGTATAAAAAAAGTTCTGATGCGATCATAAGATCAAAACCTAAGCCTAGTATAATGGTTTGTTATTTTAAAAGTCGTTGTTTTGATCAAATCTGATTGGTGTCGATCAGTGAAAATCTGTCGGTGCTACTGGAGTAGTTGCTAAGGTTGATTAACCCGAGCAGATCCTTCGGTTCTGCAAATCAAACCCGAACAGTTTATGAACCGATTAACTCAAGCTGAGCCGAACCACTATATAACTAATCGCATAGCCATTGTCTGCAAACAAATCAAACAGATTTTGATAGATCCATAAACTTTGTTCATTACGTATCATTTTGATGATAAAATTGTATAATTTACAGTTTTGGGTTAGGGATTTTTTAAAAATGCAAAAAGGTAGAATTGTGTAAAATGTCTAGCGAGAGTTTAGTGGTGACCTAGTCTCCAGCATTGAAACCAATAGCCCAGTAAAGAAAAAACATTACATATGTTTACTAGACTAACTCGAATAGTTTATTTTAGGTACCTCGCTTAATAGATGCTTTTTATTGATTTAATGTAGTGGTCATACCGGTTAACTTTTTACCCGAAAGGTTATAACCTTTAATAAAATGTAATTATACACTATTGAAGTAAGAGTTATACAGTAGAATCTATTTCGGGACATTTGCTCAGGCATTATAAGGAGAATTTAAATCGCACTGTAATTAGTGGTTCCCTCTTACTTCACCGATAGCTCATTTAGTCGACATCACGTCAAGGGAAACCCTAACAGACGATATTGGCTATCGGTTGAATAATTGTCGGTGAAGCAAGAAATCTTCACATTTGTTTAGCATATTAAATAATGTAATTAGTTGCATTTTTTTCTACTCGAAAATAATTCTTATCTGCTTTATGATTAATAAAATATCATATGAATGACGCCAAAATGTGACTTCAATTATATAAGTTTTTATATGATTGAAGTCCCATCCTTCCTTGGCGTCGCTCATATATGTATTATATTCTCTTTTAAGTTAACCGGATAAGTAACCGGGTATCTTAAATATTAATCCGTTAACCAATTTTATAACCCGGTTATCCGGGTAGCCTAGTGGTTATCATATCTTAGGGTACACTAATTTAATGTAGAAATGATTATGATGTAATAAAACATTCACAAATTTAAATATTGTACTGAATTTAAGTATTGTGTGATAATGATTTTTATACTCCCACTAATCAACGCTTTCATTCATTTCACCGACGTTTCGTTTCACCGAAAATCGATTCAATGACTAGTTTATTTATCAACAATTATTTCACTGACAAAATAATTCTGGCCATTGTCGTTAAGGTCAGGTTTAGAATCAGAGTTAAGGTTTGTTAAGCTTAGTGCAATTTTTAAAACAACTCGTCGGTGAAACGATACAGATGAAATAAACGAGACATAGTAATATTCAGGACCTTGAAAGGTTTTTTATTCTCACCTGCCTACCAAATAGAATGAAATGATAAAGAATAACATTATGAAAAATAATGAATTTGACTAGCCAAATATGTATCGTCTTCTACTTGACGAAGATTCTCTTAATGATGATATTGAATTAAGACACAGTATTGGAAGATAAAATTTGAAGTCTCTATTTAAAACCTACTTATACTCTTTTTATAGCCTAAATTCTAATCTATTACAAAAATCAAAACGATTTACCCAAATTTTAATAAAATAGGTCAAAATTTCGGCTTCAGCAAATTTCATCTTTAGCCACCATATTTATTTACTCGGCTATATTTAATTCAACTAATTTTGAAGCTATAATTAACATATAAAAAATAAATGGTTTATATGGAATATTAGGAAATAAAATAATAATAATAATTGTCCGGAGCGAAGCGGAGGACACTGTTTTTATGATTGCAAGTGATCAACGCCTGTAGATCTCCCACAAAAACATTAATCAATGAATCTACCCCCTAATGTGACTTAATGTCAAAGAGTTAGGCAATCGCCGTAACGACGATTACTATCTACCCCAGATGGCTTTATCCGATTTACAGTCTCGCTTGGCTATGAGACACTTTACTATACACACAACGGCGCTCACCACACTTCTTTAACGTAGGTATTTACCTTGAACTGTTTACTATTCAATAATTTCCAGTCGAAAGACTGTTTAATTCTTTATTTACATTTCGTTATTTAAGCGATTCCAATAATTACATACTCTGTACTACAATTTAACTATTTCTTTGTAATTAATTAATTAGACTTTTCATTGTTCTCTAACTAATTCGTCATATTCATGCATCCGACGATCAGGGTACCTATCGTACCCGATCTCAATTAATCTCCGTTACTTCTGTACTTCAATTACCCACACTGCCCTGATCGATCACCCGATCACGTGAAACGATCGTACCATATTCCTTTGTTATTTTCACGCTCTTTGACTTACTAAATAATCCATAGTCTATTTGCATACCTTTTACTAGGTACACAGGGTCTTCATTAACTACGCGACACTTAACCCTAATCTCTAACCTTAACATTCCAATTGGATAAAAATCACGAGGGGGTAAATTTTTTTGTGGGCGAGCTACGACACTTCAAGAAGATCCGCCCAATCGCTTCCGTAATGCTGATTGGTTGAATGCATGACGATCAATTACATGATAACTCCGGTAGGGATGGCAAAGTCCTTAAGTCCGGGACTTTAGGACCTGGTTTTGGGACCTGGTATTTAAAGACTAGGTCCCAATTTTAGGACCTAGGTCCATAGGTCCACAATAGGTCCTAATATAAAATATATTAATAAAATAGTAAACAAAGAATTTTAATTGGTTAGAAAGTATTAGAACTAAGTCCAAGAACTTAATCCTATTGGTCGAGCATAAGTTCTAGGACTTATTATATGAGGACCTGGTCCTTAGGTCCGTGTGATAGGACTTACAGGTCCTAGGACCAAGACCGGACCTGGACTGACTTTACCATCCCTAAACTCCGGACACACAATACTACGCATTACTTAGTAATAATTACCTATTAATGTATTAGTAGAATTTAATTTGTTAAGATTAGAAGTATCAATCAACTTGCTTGTATAAATTGCTTCAGGATGAAGTTTGTGGGAGAGTGGCGTCGAGACAGTTAAATCATCAAATATTTTATTATCAAGATGCTTAAACCATTTATTTATGATTGTAAATAATTTTTATTAATTTAGTTACTAACTCTGGTACTTGTGATGGAATACCAGGACGTAAACCTTGACAAATTTTCAACGCAAGATATTCGTCATGTGGAATGTTATAATAGGGCGGAAAGCTTGTTACCATTTCATATGCTACAATGCCAAAAGAGTATATATCTGATGCCATAGTATAATCATTTCCACAAAGAACTTCAGGATTCACATAAAGTAAAACTCCATAAATTTCTTTAGGTTTTGACTTTTGATTTTTTGATTTACACAAACCAAGATCTGCAATATGTAAACATCCTTCATCATATAAAAGATTTCCCGGATGAAAATCTCCATGAATCAAATCTTTACTGTGCAAATAGTAAAGTCCTCTGCTAAGAAACCATAATGATTTGATCTTATCCCTTAGCGTAATACTATTAAAATTATCATTTATATGCTTACGAAGACTACCTGACGATGCAAATTCCATTACTATTATGTAATTTGATGTTTGAGGATCTTTAGAAATCCCCAAACATCTAATAAAAAATGCGTCATTAGAAACTTTGATGTTTGATTCGATTTCTTCCAAAAGATTCGATATTGAATAAAATGCATTAAATTTCTTTAATGCCACTTTTTGAAGACCTAGACGATTCCACTGTTGCTCGCTCAAATTCCAATGACTGATTCGCCCATCCAACCAAACAGCTGAATATATAGATCCAAACCCACCTTTAGCAACAAATTGTATAAGACGTAATCTGTGATATGGAATCCATTCAATTACCTCCTCTGGACTTTTTGCAGAAAGTTGGGATTCTTGAATAAATTTATCAATATCGATGTTACCACTGATCCATTCTTCAAACTCATCCTGAAAATGCTTTAAATTGCATGGTTTACACCAACCTTTAATGTCATTATCGAATGGCAATAAACAATGCTGATCACATTCATTACATTTTCTTCCATAATAGAATAATAATTCTTCAACACGGAAATGAACATCACGAATCCCAATATTCGCATTTCTCTACATCGCATGATAAATATTCATTACCTTCATTGTTATAACTTGCATACAAATAATATTCACGTTCTTGAGTTCTCGCAAATCTGTTAACAAAACTGTTATGAACAAATTTATCGTATGGATCTATTGCTAATGCCTTTTCAAAATCTGCAAATGCTTCTTCAATTCTATTAAGCTTGCGATAAGTCA